AGTATAGTCGAAAATTAGCAAACGCTGACAGACATCAAACACGGGATGCAGTCGAATATTATCTTGTATTTTGGTCAATGCGCTTAGTTAACTGCATCAGAAATTTCACGAGATTGCTTGCCTTAGATGGGCAGATAAATTTGTCTTTAGCGTGCTTGGTTGGCTAGTATAGTCGAAAATTAGCAAACGCTGACAGACATCAAACACGGGATGCAGTCGAATATTATCTTGTATTTTGGTCAATGCGCTTAGTTAACTGCATCAGAAATTTCACGAGATTGCTTGCCTTAGATGGGCAGATAAATTTGTCTTTAGCGTGCTTGGTTGGCTGCTTTGTTGATATAGTAGTTCCTATCAAATTAACCAATACCTACGATGACATGAAAAATTCATCCGGCAACTCCTGCTGAGAGAGAGAGAGAGAGAGACTTAATTGTACCTTTATTTTGACCATATTTATCAATAGTGTATTTTAAAACGCTTCGGCTTTATTAAAGACCTGTTTGGATTTCATTGAGTATAAGAAAATAGAGGAGAAAAGAAAATAGAAGATGAGAGAATTATCTTCCCTTCAATTCCACCCTCAAATTGAAATAGAATAAATTGATTATAGGGGAATCTAGGGGAATGATGAGGAACACATTTCCTCTTAAAAACTTTCAAAACGGGGTGAATGAATTATATTTTATGGTTTTATTTTATTATTATAGAGGAAAAAGAATGGTATTTTGGATATTTTTATTTTATTATTAAATACAATATACATATATGGTTATATTTCATATATGGTTATATTCTATGCTTTGCGGTTATAGATTTTTTTTTATTTGATAAACTGCTTTAGGGTTTAAAGATAATACAATACTATCTTGGTTTATGAGTATACGTAGAAGTAAGCGATTTAAAAATAAGTCAGGGTATTCTCTTTTATTATCGAGGACTAAATAAAATTTGACTTTAGACTTCAACCCCAATGAAGCCCACACAGCCAATCTATATCTATATAAAGAAGTAATAAGTGGTTTAAAAATAAGTTAAGGTATTTTTTATATTTATCAAGGACTAACTAAATTTTGATAAATATTTAACAGTAAACGGGGCTTTAGACTTCAACCCAAAGAAGCCCATACGGCCGATATATGGAAGTAATAAGTGGTTTAAAAACAAATCAGGGTATTTTTTTTTTAATGAAGGACTAAATACTTTTGATAACTATTTAACAGTAAACGGACCTTTGGGCTTCAAACGCAAAGAAGCCCACACAGGCAGCCGGATTCTCAAGGGTGATCCTTTTCAGAACCGAACAAGAGTTTGTGATTAGGGTCTGGAACTTCTACTATAAAACCACCTAGCCCCTCCTCTCTTTCAAAGTAAAAAAGGTGAGTGATTATTGTTATTTTTGCATTTACTGTTGTTGTGTTAAATT